ATGCAGAGATCCGCATAAAGATGTCTTCCTATGCTTTATAGATTACCAGAAAGCGTTCTATTATGTTAATGATTCAGAATTAGTAACATTGCTCCAGGAACGTTCAATAGATGAGAATAACCTTAACCTCAAAAAGAACCTTTATATGAATCAAGTCGCACGTGCGAGAGTAGTACTGGAATCTACATCATATTTCTCAATCGAAAAAGGTATACGACAAGGTTGTGTTCTGTCACTCCTCCTTTTTAATCTTTACTCTGAAACGATTTTCGATAGAGCCTTAAGTGACACTGAAGATGGAATCAAAATCAACGGACAGACTATTAGTAATCTTCGCTATGCTGATAATACAGTCATAACAGCTGATAGCAAGAAGTGTTTCTTCTTCTTTAAGTTCCATCTTCTATCGAAGGTTGAAAATCATCATGGCTATGTTGACTGCCGCTCTAAAAAGTTCTGCACTTCAAACCGTTCCCCTAAGTTCTTAAGCCAGGATATGCAAAGAAGCGCTACAACGACTAATAGATAGAATAAACACTGAAGGAGAAGATTAATATAGACACGACGAAGGTAATGGTGGTTAGTAGAACACGAAATATGCAATTAAATATCAGAGTAAACAATAAGAACATCCAAAAGGTCCCCAAGTTCAGATATCTCGGTAGTTGGATAACTGAAGACTAGATCCAGACATAGAGATACGTAGCAGGATTGAGCAAGCCAGAACAACATTTACTAATTTGAGAACCTTGCTAAGCAACAGCAGCCTTAACTTAAGGCTTCGATGTCGCTTTGTAAAATGTTACATTTACTCCATACTGCTATATGGTGTAGAAACCTGGACCATAAAGGCCAATATGATGAACCGAATGGAGGCCTTTTAAATGTGGGTATTTAGAAGACTACTTAAAATTCCCTGGACAGATCACACAACAAATGTCGAGGTATTAATTCGAATGGGCACAGAACGAGAATTGCTGCCAATAATAAAATGAAGAAAACCTGCTTATCTGGTTCATATCGTTTCGAAATTCCAAGTTTTGAAATTCCAAGTACCAGTTCTTAAAGCTTATTGGGAAGATAGAAGAAAAACGGGGCATTGGAAGAAAGAAATACTCATGACTTAAAAACATAAGGAATTGGACAAACCTCGATGTCCATGCATTCTTTAGAGCCACACATCGATAGAAGTAAGCCAGAATTGTCGTCAACATCCACTAATTGGATAGGGCACCATAAGAAGAAGGGATAAGAACAAAATGTAAAGTACAGAGCATAAACTAGTTTAAACTAATTAGAACAATAAAGAATGGAACTACATCAGTAGAATAGCGGACACAAGAGTCGTTAAAATAGCAAGGGACAATTACATAAGTGGTAGAAGAAGTATCGGCCGACTGCGCAAGAAATGGAGTGATGATATTAGAGGCAACAATCTTCATATGGTTCCATACGAACTGGCTCCTGATCTCAGATGATAAGTCCTCTACAGATAAAAGGGTTAGGGTGAATTGGTTTCCGATGAAATTCTTGAAAATTTAGATAGGTAGGCGATGGATTTTATTGTGGTGGCCAGTTAGAAGCGTGATTTTTCCATCATTATTTAAATTCATATACTCCTTCGCCACAAACCTATATCAAACTAGTTTGCTGATAGTTCTGAGTTTTGCTTGTACTTGATCATATCGTCGAAGAAGATGCAAGCTACATAAATGTTAAGCCAACAGAGAAAATCTATGCTCGTGGTAAACAGTTTTAAATATAATTTCCACAAGGTATTGTCGGGAGAATTAAAGTGATGGAAGTGTGCATGCACACCTTGGATGTAAGTCGTATGTGAAAACGAAAACGTGAGTTTAGTGGTGAGCAACACAACCATGAGAGCAGCAGCATCCAAACACCAAACCGCCAAAAACTTAACAATTTACTAAAGAGAAAGGCCGTTGAAGACATTTGTGGGAAGCTCATGAAACTTCTTAACATAGCAAGTATAAAACAAAAAATTGAATTTTGAATGGAAACTCTCACATGCAGTCGTCTTTTTTCGTAGAGACGTACTATTGTCGGCCCACAAGGTAGGTAGAAATTTGGCGTCTTCAGCAATGTAGTTCTCTAATAAGAAATCTGCAAATTTTTGACCAACCAGATGTCTGGGTAAGATTGCTCCAAAATCAATCGCAAAATAATCCTTTACGTCTTTGTAGTTCAGAAAAAGAAAGACCAAACACGTATTGTAAGTAACACGAAATCTCTTCTTTCTTTCGAATATTCCGTTGCCAAGCCCAGTTTCTGAATCTTTCGTCAGAAGGTGCATATAACAACGTAAAATTACTAACACATCTAATTAACTTCCAATATATAAAAGTGGCGTGATACCAAAAGGATGGCTTAACTCCAAATTCATAGCTATACCAAAGAAATCTAGTTCTCGCAAATTTACGCTCATTAGCTTAATTTACTAACTAAACTTCACTTCACTAACTAAAAATAATAAAAATATGAAATGATCATAAGTGAAAATGCAGCTAGATAGAAAATATCTCCGCGTAATTCAAAACCTTTATTAAAACCAAAAAGCAACCTTAAAATATTCTAACCACACTACTACAACTGTCCGTCTACAGAGAGGTGTCCGACAAGGCTATGTCATGTCTCCATTGATCTTTTACATAAACATTTCTGAATCTGAATCTGAGAGAATAGATTTTCTACCTATATCTATAATAACTATCCGTTAACGATAATTTTAGAATTATTTTGAACTAGATACAATATATTCTCGATCAAATATTAGTTATAGAAAAGTGTAGTATGCAAAAAAAATAATTAACATTAAATATCATTGCAAAAACTTTCAAGCTATAAGAATTAAATCAAAATGTTGGTCCATGTGAGTGGTCCATCAAAGTATATGGTCCATGTGAGACTGAATTAGAGGTTAAAATAAAAGCTTATATTATTCTCGAAAAAAAATTCAAACAAGCACCAGACGGTGTCGAAATTGGTATAAAAATAAACGCTAAATAGCAGAAAAAATGGAAGACTTACAAAATATACTAGACAGAGTTAATAATGCATGTGAAGCAATGAGGCTGATTCATCCTCAAAACACATCTACAAAAGAATACATCTACAAAAACTAAAGTAGGAATATGTACAATAAATGGAAGCAAATTATCTATAACTGGAAATTAACCTCCTCTTTCAAGAACTGGAACACACGTAGTAGGAAATGATTTCCCTGTTGTAAAGAGAAATATACGAGCGGTACGTAATGTTCATTCATGCGCTAGTGAACAGTAAAGAGTTGACAAAAATACTTAGTGCAGTATTTGAAGATTCCGTCCAAATAAATTGTATTTAAAGTGCACAAAAATTTTAAATTTTTCTTACAAGAAAACACCACGAAATTAGCATCCGAATCGATCTGTAACAAGAACTGCTTTCCTTCATTTGTCGGTATTTTAATTGTATTTAGCACTTCGTGAACTTCCTTAACACTTGTTAGTACTTTCGGTAATTCCTTTCTTCGATGGTAGTACATGCAGTTCCTTATTAGAATACATAATCCAAAGTAGAAGTTATAACACCAGAATAGTTCTCCTCTTTCTGAAGAAGTTTCAAGGGCTTTTCACAAATATTTTCAACGGCCTTTATCGTCAGTGTTTTTGGCGGCTAGTATTTCCAGACTGCTGCTCTTGTGGTTGTGCTCACCACCAAAGTCGAGCACTGTGGTGTATGGAAAGGTATGGAAGTTGATGTGGAAAGGGAAAAGGTATAGAAGTTTCCCTTTTAATATACATCCTTACATCTTTGGTATACACAGTGCAATTCTGTCATGAGAACCATGCACAGTATGGTTCTCACGACAATAAGTTGTGTAAATTATATTTAAAACTGTTCGCCATTAGCATGAGTTTTCCCCGTTCGCTTAACATTTCTGTAGCTTGCATTTTCTACGACGATATGATCAAGTACAAGCAAGACAAAAAACTATCAGTAACCTAATTTGAAATGTCTGAAATGTCTGCGATGAAGGGTTTACAAATTTAAAAAATGATGGAAAAATCCAATTTCTAACTGACCATCCATCCCAATAAAAACCTATCAACCTAAATTTCCGAAAATTTCATGCAAACCCCTTTATCGGTAGAGGGCTCCTTACCTTCGAGCGGGAGCCAGTTTACGTGCACTTGTGGCAGAAGACCCTGTAGGGGAAAAATTTTAACAACAATTGGTGGAATGAAGAATTAGAGGAACTTTTACAATAAAAGAAGGAACTATATAATAGATGGCTAGCTAGCGAAGACTCAAAATATCAACGCATGTAGAAAAAATACTGCTATCTAGCCAAGAAATAGGTAACGAAAACAAAACACGAAATTGGGAAAAAAGATATCATCTCATCGAAGGCTTATTAGAGAGTTTCAAATCTAGAACTGCTTGGTAAACTGTAAGAACTTAGGAGTACAAAGATCAGCCTAGGAGATTAAGGACAAACACGGACAAAAAGTGGAAAATAGAGACCAAATTCCAGTAGAGGACGGAGTTGAAAAAGTGACTAGTTTTACACAAGTAGGTGTCCAATTAGAAATAATAAAGACGGAAGAAGATCGAAATTACGGGAAACCTGCACTTAATTTGGGTTGTACCGAAAGGAATGAGAATGAGAGAGCAATTTTCTGAATGATTGTTTGCTAGTTTGGTTCACCCCATTATCAGTACCTGTAGCAAATTTTTACCTGTTTAAACGGGCTTATCACACACACATTATTTATACAATAGACTATTATAATTTCTATTGGAGTTATTTAACTTTGAAGGCACATAACTGTCCTTATGGACCAAATGGCAATCTTCGGCAACCGGGGCGGCACACAAACATAGTACCTTGATGAGATAAGGAACCGCGAGCGAGATCCGCGGTACTCACAGTACCCAACTCACGCGATCTTCAATCTCATGATTGTCTCTCGGTTTTAGTTTAATCTCGAGTTTTACAGCTGCAAGTCACGAGTTGCTCGGTCGATTTCATCTTCCGCGATCCGGTGTTCACGTTGTGGATAAGTGCGTGGAGGTTTTGACGCTTTTTGTTGAAGTGGTGGTCAATATTGGATTTACAGTGTAGTTTAAGGTTATAGTCAATTGCAATTTTTTATTTTTTATTAGAAAATTAGAAAAATATTAGATATGCAAAAAATATGTTTTTGAAATTTACAAAATTGCAACAAATTAATTAACGATTTCAGGAAGTAAAAATAATTTAGATAAAAGAATTTATACTCATATTAACATTTTTTTCTCTTTTAAAGACACTAAACAAAATTTACATTAATAAATTAAAGAAATTTTGTTTTTTCTACAAACAAAATCTACATCTCGACAATCTAACCAATATTTATTAAAATATTAGAACAAATAATAAACATTCAAAGAGATAATTTTATGTATTGAAATTTAAATTAAAAAAGCCACACACAAAAATAGGTTCAATCAATATCTACTTAATTCCAGAAAAAATAATATTGTCAAAATTTTTATCCACACATCCATTTTTATTTACACACACTATCAAATATGTGGTCTCTTTTTTTTTGTTTAAGTTTGATATTTTTTACATGTTTGTTGTTTACATTACTTCAATTTTCAACATATATTCTTGCTAGTTTTTTATTTTTTCAAATGTCATTTTTTTAATTGTCTGTCCCATACTAGCAGATCCTTTATGAATAATTTTCAGTTGCACCCTTTAATCTTTTATAGCACGATCATGCATCCCTTTGATGGCTCCATGTCCCATTATCCCTTTATTTCTTTTTTTTTTGTATATTAGCCTTGGTTTAGAACCTTTAGCCACTTATAATTACATACACATATTGGTATTCGTTCATTCAGTATTGTATAGGGTCTTTGATTCTTTCTACTCAATTTCTCTACCGCACTGCTATTCTTCCTTTCGTTCTGCTATTTACTGGAACATAATTTAATTCCTTTTTGGTTATCATAGGTGTGGCCAGGTTTTTTTAGTGTGAGATCCAATGGTGAAAATTGCGCTACCCCCATATATTTTTTTAATTTTCAACAAATATATATATAGATCGGTTTAAAAAATTCTCCTATGTCTTTATATACCTAGTTGCCACTCCTCTCGATTCATCCATAAGTCTTCTGCTATGTCTCTGTCTTTAATTTCTCTATTGATGCCTTCTCTTCAACTCAGGCGAGGTCTTTCTTTTTTTTCTACTGATCTGAGTTGTTGGGTACCAATATCGTCTACTATTGAATGTTTTACTTTCATAATATCTCTTATTCTGTTGTTCGTTACTCTTTCTAGTCTAGATTTTCCAGCTGAACGTCTCCAGAAATCCATTTCCGTTGCCCCAAGTTTTCTCTTGGGGCACTACTTTAGGGTTTCTTCTCACTACTGTAGCTAATTATACTTTTAAGGATTGTATTATGTATCTTGTGTTTGTTATTATTAGAGATTGATTGATCCCAAGGGTACTATTGAGAAGGGAAATTGCTTTTCTTGCTTGGTTGTTTTTCTCCTCAATTGTGTCGTCTATGTTGCTTTCTTTTGTGATAATCATACCTAAATATTTATATGTGTTGCAACCTTTAATTACTTCTCTATCTTCCAATATGAGGTCCTGTTTTTCCCGCCGATACACATATACTCGGTTTATTGGGTATTGATTTCACGTCCCCATTTTTTATACTCATCGATTAATTTACAAGTCAGATACTTAATATCTTCATAATCTTGTTCTGTCACTAGTTGATCATCTGCAAATGACAAAGTGTATATTATGCTATTGTTGTTAATCGGTATTCCCATATTTCTACATTTGCGCTTCCACAGATTTAGAGCCTTTTCTACATAAATTTTAAATAATATCTGGGGAGACAGCAGCCCTGCTGTCTCCCCAGGGACGTTTAGTCATTTGGAATCCACTTGAAAGATTATTTCCAACCTTTATCTTTGAGTTTGCATTAGCGTACAGTTCCTTCGACGCATTTTTCTCAGTTTTCTCTAACGCTTTCTATAATTTATAATGTGTACGCTACCACAAGCCTTTCGTAGGTCTACATACAATAAATGTACTTCTTGATTAACAGCTATTTTCTTTTCAATAATATGTGTAATGCAAAACAAATGGTCAACAATAAATTTACCTGCCCTAAATCCTGCCTGTTCCTCAGCCTCTAAGTCTTTATATTCGCTTTCTATTCTGTTTTTAATTACTGTTCCATTAATTCTACTGATCGAGTTTGTCACGGCAAACTGTAGTTTTCACATTCATCCCTTCTCCCTTTTTGTGTATAGTGGATATGAATGATGTCTTCCACTCCTCTGAGGTTGTCATTTCATTAATGCAGTTTTGGAATAGTTTGGCTAAACTTGTAGATAGTTTGGTTGTACCGTGTTTAATTAACTCTGCAGGGATGTTACCTGGATCCGGTTCTCGGTTATCTACATAGATCTTCCACTTCTTTCGTTGTTATTCGTATGGGTGAAGTTAAAATATTCATATTTTGTGTTTCGTTGCTGTCTTTAAATTGCGGTCCATCTTCTCTTCGGAGTTTCTCAAAATATTGGTCCGAGTCATCCATTTGTATTGGTGACACTATGTCTCTCTTCTTTTCTTGTCGTAAACATTTTAAGACTCTCCAACTTTCTGTGCTTCTTCGTCCTGCTAGATGTGAATTTATCATGTTACACTTTTGTTGCCATACAACATTTTTCTTCCGACATATCATTTTTCGTACTTTAGCTTGAGATTAGTCTCTTTTCTTTTTTATTTCTTGTTCTATTTCTTCGTCAAACCAATATGGAAGTTTTCTTTAATTCTGGATTTGGTACCCAATGGATTCTGTCGCTGCCACCTGGAGACACTTTTTTATGTGAGTGTAATGTTCTTCACTATTATTAAATTGATTATTTTTCAACTTTTGATTTAATCTATTTCTGTATAATTCGCTCACGCTTTCTTGTTCTAAGCTGATTAGGTTATACCTCTTCTATATTACTTTCTCCCTTTCATTTCCTTCTGTTTCTTCTTTAGATTTATTCACTTCCAATGTGATCTTAGCTTTTAATAAGTGATGATCGCTTCTACAGGTAGCTCCTCTCAATACTCTTACATCTTGTACAATCATATTTGTCTTTTGTGATATGATTGTGTAGTCATGATTGATTTTAACCCTCTCGTATTTTCAACAAAATGATATGAATGATATAAAAAACAGTTTACAATTTTTTGAAATATTTTTTTAAATTCAAAATATATTTGTTCGAACAGTAAATTTTAGTTAGGTTAGTTGTGTTTGTTTTTATATTAAATTATTGCCTGACGATAAGAAAAATATGGTTTACCACAATCACATATATAAAAAATACGTTAAAAATTCAGATTGACATTAAAAATTTGTTATAACACAATAAATACAATACCATTCGTCGCTGAAATAGTACAATTTTTTAAAATTATTTAACTACACTATCATTGTCTATCACTATCATTGTCTATCACAAGAAAATTGGATGATAGAAAACTGCCAAGAGATCGAAGAATTAATAAAGAAACACGACAGTCAAACGCTTCACAAAAAAATAAAAGATCTAGCTGGAATGACAAAACAAAGACTCCCTTGTAGATTAACAAACGACGAGAATGAAACGATATGGGAATTAAGCGATCTAAACAACGTATGGGGACATTACATAGAAGAACTATTCTCGGACACACCACTAAACAACATAATATATAAAAACCATGAAACCAGTCCTCCTATATTAAAACAAGAAGTAGAGAGAGCAATCAAAAACGCAAAAAATGGGAAAGCCCCTGGCCCCGATGACATACATACGGAAGTCATAAAGCTACTGGAAGAGAAACATTTAAATATAATCGTCAAATTATTTAATCAAATATATACAAGCGGTGAAATTCCACAAGACTGGTTAAAATCAGTCTTTATTCCCCTTCCAAAAACTAAGGGAGCAAAGAAGTGTGGTGATTTTAGACTTATTAGTTTAATGTCGCATATGTTAAAGTTATTCTTGAAAGTTATTCACCAACGCATTTATAAGAAATGTGAACAGGATATCAGTGATGAACAATTTGGCTTCCGAAATGGATTTGGGACACGGGAAGCATTAACCAGTTTTATTATACTGCTGCAAAAATGTCGAGACCAAAAAAAGGATCTCTTTTTATGTTTTATTGACTATCAAAAGGCCTTCGACAAAGTAAAACATGATAAGCTGATGGATTGCCTTCACAAAAAGGGACTAGACGAGAACGATTTTAAAATTATCCAAACGCTGTATTTTAACCAAACGGCAGCAGTTAGAACAGAAGCCGGTGACACAGAAATATTCAATATCAAGCGAGGTGTACGACAGGGGTGTGTATTGTCACCACTACTTTTCAATATATATTCGGAAGAAATCTTTGCACGAGCACTAGAGCAATCAAGAGAAGGTGTTAAAATTAACGGCAGAGTTCTAAATAATGTACGATACGCCGACGACACGGTCCTAATTGCAGAGAGCGCACAGGATCTCCAGACACTCTTAGATCGCGTCAGATCGATCGGAGAACAATACGGCCTCAGCATTAACGTCAAGAAAACAAAAACAATGATTGTCTCCAAAACATCCATCCATCCACCCATGGCTTTAAAAGTGAATGGTAACATTATCGAAAATGTCGAGAAATTTCGATATCTAGGGTGCTGGATAACGAAAGATATAGATCCAGACATAGAAATAAAATCGCGAATTGAACAAGCAAGAAATGTCTTTTTAAAAATGAAACAAATGTTTACGTCCCAAACACTCAATCTCAAAATCCGATACCGAATGCTGAAATGTTATGTTTACAGCACCTTACTATATGGAATGGAGGCCTGGACCTTCAAAATCAACTCACTAAGGCGTTTGGAAAGTTTTGAAATGTGGTTATTTCGAAGGATGCTGAAAGTCCCCTGGACAGCGCATATGAGCAACGAGCAGGTCCTACACAAGATGGGTACCGACAGAGAACTCTTAAAAATAATGAAAACACGGAAAACCTCATATTTGGGACACATATACAGAAATGAGAAATACCAGCTACTGCAGCTTCT